TTGGTGGATTGGATGTAAATCCTCATCCGCTCCTTCCAATAGGTGTAGTTTGTTCCGTCAAACAATGGAGGCCTCGTGGTGGATTGCCCTTCACCTAAACCTGCGTATGAACTTTGAGTAGAAGCCATTGATCGTTTCTCTCAAACGGTTAAGTCTTTCAGAGAGTATGGCTCTGATACCAATTGTTAGAATAAAGGCCCAACGCTAGAGGGGGGTGAATAGCGTTTAAAACAAAATCGCAGGAAATTAAAACGAGAGCGTTAAAGTAAAGAACGTAAGGAAGGAGCACACCGGATTTTATCCTGGTTCACCACAACGTGTGGCTAATCTAGCCCCCCGAGAGACACTCTCGAGCTACACTAACTCCGTTAAGCTTAAGGGTGCTTAACAAACCGATACAACTTGAGAACCCGAGTCACACGAGCCTCAACACCTTTGCTCGGAAATACCGCACTCCAAGACTTCTCACGAAGGAACAAGGAACTTCCTTCGAGTTTACAACAAGGGAACGACCTCCCTTAAAGTGTATGAAAACACTTAAAAACTCAGGAATAAAACTCTCACAAAGAGTAGATATGAGTGAACTAGTAAACACTCAAGAACACGACAATTTCTTCAAGAATTAGCTCTCAAATAGCTAAGAAAAATAGGAATTTGAAGAATTGTGTGTAAAATGAGAGGATTTGGGTGCCATTTTATAGCCCAAAATGGGATAAACCCGTTGCTAGAATTTCCAACAGGATGAAGACAAATTTTTCAGGGACACAGGCTGATAGTCGATTATCAAAGCTTGATAATCGATTATCCAAAGATTCCCTGTCCAAAAATTTAAAATTCTATCCGTTGGAGGACAACGGTAACCCAGATAATCAATTGTCAACAAGTGATAATCGATTATTGGTCCTCTCAGAAGATTATGGATTTTGGCTGCAAAGACTGATAATCGATTATTTTATAAGTGATAATCGATTATGGCGTGCTTCAGAACTTTGGAAGTTCAAAGCTGCAGGGGCTGATAGTCGATTGTCACTAAGGTGATAATCGATTATCACCCAGCTAAAGTCTAGCCAGCTAAAACCCGTTTTGAAAACTGAGGTCCAAAAAACGAAGTGTTCCCAAAAGTAAAACCCAGGTTTGGAAAATATTGTATATTGTATAAAATAGTGAAAACAAGACTTGTTTGGTAAAACTCAAGTCTCCAAGGTCGTATAATACGTGCGTACGGTTTAGACCGTTTTTCACGTGTTAGACCGATTGACCAAGATACAAAAGTGGTTTTTATAAAATAATTATTTGGGAACATTTTAAAAATGCTCAGAGGTAAAAAAAGGGTTTAAAATATTGAAAACCACGGAGTTGGTTCGGGCGCCAAAAACCAAACGCCGACTTAGGTGGTTTTGGTTCTGAGCAAGGACCAGGGATTTTAACAATAAAAGGAATCATCAAAAATGTTTGTTTTGATGCACAAAAAATATTTTATGATTTGTAAAAATTGTTTTGACTTTTTGATAACCGAGACTTGAATTTATTGTCTGTTTTGATCACAAAAGATCGACTCGACTAAGTCTTCAATTCTTGATCTTGTCCTTGAGTCTTTTAGGTCTTGTTCCAAGCCATTTTTCACGCCTTGAGTTATTCAACAAAACTCTTTATATCCACGGTGCTTTGGCAATTATCAAAACCTGTCAGAAATGAACACGACTTTAGTTTATCGTACAAAGTGTGTTCCAACAGAATGGAGAACATTGAAGAACCACCCGATTGACAATGTCATTGGTGACATAACGCAGGGGGTTTCTACTCGTAATTCTCTTAGGAACACAATTAGTCACATGGCCTTTGTTTCACAAATTGAACCAACAACCGTTTTGGATGCTATTAATGATGAACATTGGTCTATGGCAATGCAAGAGGAGCTTAACAAATTTAAACACAATGATGTTTGGGAATTGGTGCCTAGACCTAATGATCATTCCGTTATTGGCACAAAATGGGTGTTTCGTAACAAACTCGATGAAAATGGAGTAATCACTAGAAACAAAGCTAGGCTTGTAGCTAAAGGCTACAATCAAGAAGAAGGCTTGATTATGAAGAAACTTATGCACCGGTTGCACGTTTAGAAGCTATTCATTTATTACTTGCATTTGCATCTACGATGGATTTTAAACTTTATCAAATGGATGTTAAAAGTGCCTTCCTTAATGGTATCATTCAAGAGGAAGTGTATGTCGAACAACCCCCGGGTTTCGAAGACTATGAGTTTCCTGAACATGTCTTCAAACTCAAAAAGGCGCTTTACGGTCTCAAACAAGCACCTCGTGCTTGGTATGAACGGTTAAGGAAATTTCTTTTGGACCATGAGTTCAAACGAGGTCAAGTCGACACTACTCTTTTCATCAAGAAAGATAACCAAGACATCCTTTTGGTTTAAGTTTACGTAGATGATATCATATTCGGTGCTACTAACGAGGTTTTGTGCAGAGACTTTTCCGATATGATGCAAAGTGAATTTGAAATGTCGATGATGGGAGAATTAAAGTTCTTCCTTGGGCTGCAAATTAGACAATGCAAAGAAGCAACATTCGTGTGTCAAACGAAATATTACAGGGAATTGCTTAAAAGATTCGATGTTACCGAATCCAAATCCATTGACACACCAATGAGCACCTCTTGCTATCTCGACAAGGACGAAAATGGTAAAGAGGTAGACATCAAGCGCTACCGACGTATGATCGGCTCTTTACTTTATCTTACCGCGAGTAGACCGGATATCATGTACTCCGTTTGTATATGCGCTAGGTATCAATCATGTCCTAAAGAGTTGCACTTGGTTGCGATCAAAAGGATAATGCGATATCTCGCGGGCACGTTGAACGTAGGTCTTTGGTATCCCAAAGGTTCAACATGTCATCTTGTTGGCTATTCCGACTCGGATTTTGCAGGTTGCAAACTCGATAGGAAAAGTACCAGCGGTACTTGCCACTTATTCGGTCATTCGTTAATCTCGTGGTTTAGTAAGAAATAGGTTAGTGTTGCACTCTCCACCACCGAAGTGGAATATGTCGCTGCGGGAAGTTGTTGTGCCCAAATTCTTTGGCTAAAACAGCAACTAGTGGATTTCGGCCTTATACTTGATCACATCCCTATTAGGTGTGACAATATGAGCGCTATTAGTCTAACGAAGAACCCCGTTCTTCACTCGAGGACTAAACACATAGAAATTAGGCATCACTTCATACGAGATCACGTCCAAAAGGGAGATGTCACAATTGAGTTTGTTGAAACGAATCATCAATTGGCGGACATTTTCACGAAACCCCTTAGTAGGGAGAGTTTCTTCCACATTCGGAATGAACTTGGCATTTTAGATATCTCTATGAACTAATCCATTCTTTTTATTGACTATACTAATTTGAGCGTCAGAGGCGCGATAAATTCTTTTTTGCAGAGCTTTTAGTGCAAGTATCTTTTCCCTTGGTATTCAACTGAATTGGACTTGATGATTTTTCTGTCAAACAAGTTTTAATCGATTACTCCTCGAAGAGAAATCGATTAGTCGCCTCTGTCCCTCTTAATCGATTACTGGCCTTTTGTTTAATTGATTAAAATTCTTCAAGGAAACCTTCTTTAGCTCTGCTTCACTTTTAATCGATTAATCCTGTTAAATTAATCGATTAGATCCGATTATACATACTAATCGATTAATTCGACTTATTTAATCGATTTTTATTAAATTTCCACTCTCTTAAAATCAGCCAGTCTTCGTTTTCTTCGCCATTCTCCTTTTACAAAACCAGAGATCGGCGAAACCCTTGCTCCCTCCTTCGATCTCCTCTGTGATTTCTTCAACAATCTTTTAATTTTTTCTCACCAAAATTCATCAAATTCAAAGAGGAAAGATGCCAAGGTGCGAGAACGCTTCATCGCGTCAAGAATCGGCGGCAGAAGAAGGTGAGAGGCCATGGCGTCGTGAAGGGAGCAAGTACATCCACATCCAAACCGGACTCGCCTTCAACACCGGGGCTTCAGCCGAGAGGTTCCACAACACCTTTCTGACGAAGGAGATCGTCTCACCTAAGATTGTGAACAAGGACCTCTTCAAATCAGCGACCTATGCCCCGAGTAAGTCTCTTTTCTCTCAGCAAGGTTTGCTTCGTTTCATCCAGTTGACGTATGAATTCTTTTGTCCAAATCTTATACGTCAATTTTATGCAAATCTTCATACCACTAAGGGAGACTCGCCATCTCTCATTTCCTATGTTGATGGCAAAACCGTTTTCATTGACGGTGCCGGGTTGACTTCTTTTTTTGGCCTTCGTCGAGGTGAAATTACCAAAAACTTGGATGAAACAAACATTCCAAGATGAGGCAATTTGGCGACAACTTGGTTTGGATCATCGTGACCTCAAGTTTAGAAATTCTAGCAACCCGAGTGTCATTAACCTCACTTTGATTCAACGCGTCCAACAATACATCTTCTCTTATGTTTTGTTGCCCCGTGATTCGAACCATAGCATTGTCAACAAGGACGATATTGGTTTGTTTCACGTCCTGTTGAACAATGTCAAATTTGATTGGGTTCACTTCTTTATCGTTGCACTTAGTGATGGCACTCGTTTTTCCCATCTCCATTTTGCCATCCCCATCATGCATATCCTTGCTCATTGCAAAATAGACCTTACTCGAGACACTCAGGTGCCGGTCAAGAAGACTTGTTTCATCACTGAAGCCAAGTTTTCCTGGATCGTGTACCGTGAGCAGGGCGATGCTGCACCAAATCTGGACCTGATAGTCGCAGACGAAGAAAAGAGCCAAAACGAGACTCAAGCTGAGTCATCTCGTGCCGGAGGAAGTCGAGCCACGGAGCGCGTCACTCGTCAACGCAGGACTCGTCCAAGAGAAGAAGCACCGGAACCATCTTAGGTAAAGAGAATCTTCGATGACGTTCGCCAGCTCAATGAGAGGATGACTCGTTTTGAGCAATCCCGCTCCTACCGTGGCCTGCGTCACAGCTTTAGCGGAGGAGCTCGTCCGGCTGTTGTACCCGAGACCCGGGGTAGTCTAGGATATCAACTTAAGAAGGGAAAGAAGAAGAGAAGGATGTAGAAATATAGGGGAGGCTGAATTCAGGAGAGAACAAAGGAGAGGGAAAGAAGCATTTATCAAGTGAATAATAAGAGGAATCACACACACTTATCTTCACTCGGGTTAAACTCTAGTATTTAAAAAAGGAATCACTCAACTTATTTAATATATCTAGAACCTAAATCTCCCACTTAAGAGAACCACTCCTAAGATATAGAATTAGGATTTAATATATAGAATTTAGAGAGAGACTGAGCAAGAAACTTATATTATCACAATATATTTTTACAAGCTGATCAATACAATGAACTAGGGCTGGAATATATAGGCCATGGAATGGAGAAACAATACAACAAACATGATTACATGATAAAATACAACAAAGGAAACTTCCCACTTCTTTCCTACAAAATAAAACAAATGTTGTGCATGTGTTAATATCCCAAATGAGTTGAATTCAAGGCTAATGATCAGGGATTTGGCATGTATTTTGGGTGGTCTTTATGTATGATTTTCGTCCTTAAGGTGGGAGAATAAAGGAAACAACATGGCTTGACTTTTAGTGAGTAACAGGACAAGATATTACTATTCAATCAAAGACTTTTGGGCAGGCACATGGATGAAGGATTAAAATTTGTTTTGTATTGTAAAAGTCTTTGATTTTGTTGAATAATAACATGAAAATTTCATCCATGGTGTATGGCCAAGTTTGTTCCTAAATGACAAAACATTTCCTTTTCAATCAATGACCATTTTACTGATTTCTGAGTTCAGGGTTGTGTGAGAATCGATTATCGCCTACTGATAATCGATTAATAAGATACGTTTTCTAAACCCAGAATTTTCAGAGACGTTAAATAGCCGATTAACTCTTCAGGAATAATCGATTGACAAGGACTGGTTCATCAAACCAGATATTTCCAGAGATGAGTGTTAATCGATTATCAATTGGGAGATAATCGATTATGAAGCATTGCTGGACTATGTTAGGAGAATTCAGAGGGAAGCAATAGTCAATTATCTATGTTGGATAATCAATTATCATGACTTTAACAGAAAAACAAACAAAGATTTTATTTTGTCTTTTGTTGTTCACCTTCGGCCTAGGCTTAGTAATGAATAACAAAGACTTTATTTTGGACAGATAAAATGATTTTGGATGTTTGTGGGAGAAGGTTTGTGGGTTATGGTTCGGCTTAGGGGGGGTTTTAGGCAGCAAGGGTTATGGTTTGGGCTTTTTGATGGAAAGAAGGAATGAATTCAACCCAATAAGGATTATAACAATTAAGCATTAACTCATGATTTTGCTTACCCTTTGGTGATGCATGGTGGAGTACAACATCCTCCCCGTCTTCAAAAGAGTTTGACCTCAAACTCGGAGTATAAATTGGCTTGGATTGATCATTGAGGTCTCTCGTGTTTACATTCACGTTCCCACAAACATGCTGGTTGACTTGAGTCGTTGTTATCGTTTCACGACGAGTTTCATCTATGTATTCAGATTTACCAGCTCGTATCAATGTTGATAGATGAACGGGAGATTTTTCTTCAGGATGAAGAGAAGTAAGGGTGATTCTCTTATTGTCTTTGAGGAATGAATACGTTTTAGCGTATCCATCGTAAAGAACCTTGCGATCGAACAACCAAGGCCGTCCGAGCAGCACATGACAAGCATCCATCGGTATCACATCACACCATATTTCATCCTTGTAGGTTTGTCCAAGACTTAGTGACACCAAGCATTGAGTGTCAACACGTAACCCTTTACCATGATTCAGCCATTGAATCGTGTACGGTGTCAGGTGTGGTGAGGTTTTCAGCTGGAGTTTATCCACCATAGTCTTAGAGGCAACATTCGTACAACTCCCACTATCAATGATGAGAGAGCACACCTTTTCTTTGATTGTACAACGAGTATCGAAGATATTCTCTCGTTGTACTCCCTCCGTTCCACAAAACACTTCTGTTTTAATTTTTTGCGCAACCCACAAAATACTTCTATCCCACCTAAAATGTCTAAAGTACCCCTAAAACAACTTCTACCCGCAATAAACTACATAGTCGGGTATATTTTAGATATTTTAGGTGGGAGTAAAAACGTTTAATGAGGTGCGCAAAAATTTAGGGCGGAAGGGTTTTAAGGAATGGAGGGAGTATTTCTTCTTTTGGACAGGCCATCGCACTTAAAGTTCTACGAATGACCAAAAGTTCTCCATCATCAGGTCCGACATACTCTTCTTTGAGATTTGTAAATCGAGAGAATGCAAATCTACTCCTGAAAATTATATTCTTTGAGAAATCTGGAATTTAATTAAGTCAAGTCCTTTAATTTTGATAATAAATCCTTAGACATTGGATTGATTATTAAGTAAATATTTTGGTGGTCCCAAAGTGGTGAGATACAAAGTCTAGAGGGGGGGGGATGAATAGACTTTGTTATAACTTAAAAACTTTTTCGTTTCTTTTGAAAACATGAAAATGAGTGTTTATTCTAGAGTTTTTGTGAACCTTAGATTGTGTGCGGAAGTTGGTGGGTAATTGAGTAGTAATCAATATCGATGAGTTAGTTTTCACAGTTAATATAATTGCAAGTATGAGTAGAGATAGAAGAGAGAGAGACACGCAAACTTTAACGAGGTTCGAAGGTGGGGTAATCCTTCTACGTCCTCAAAATCCACTATGTAGTTGGTTGTTGAATAATGAACCAACAATTACACTTGTGTGAATTTCTGCACGGTATATCTTCGCAATGCCAATGTTGCTACTGCACTCGTGCTGGCTTTGTTGTTCCTTCGAAGGTCACGCTTCTTCAACAACTGCAAGATCCGAACAATAGGACTTGCAAGATCAACTTGTAAGAAAGTTCATCTTCCCCATTTTAATCAAGAAGTTTGATTAAAAGTTATATCCTTCAACGTGGTGTGGTACTTGAGGCAAGGAAACCTTCAAGTGTTTACACTATAGCTCTTTGGAAGGAGGAGAAGTTTTATTCTGGATAAGGAGTTTAGAAATCTCTCTTTATCAAGCTCTTTGGCTAACTGTGAATGAGATAGCTTTGGTGTAGTTTTCTTTGTTGTATGTATTTCGTGCTTTCTATCTCATCGTGCTTTCTCCAGTCTTCCAAGGTTGCTATTTATAGCTGGATTGGATAATCTATCCATTGAATCAAAATAGACTATCCGTTGCATTTGCTAGCTTCAATTTTGAATGAAGATTGTGATTGAGGATTCCTCATTGGAGTGGGTGTTTGGACATACCCAATTGTTTGAGGAAGGATTCCTTTTTTCACAGAATCCATCTTCTAGCTGTTGTTCAAGAATTCTGGACTGTCGCTCTTTACTTAGTTTGTCTTCTAGTGCTTGTTTAGTAATTCTGGACAAGCTCTTTAATTTGAGGGGTCCAGACTTTGTCTTCAAGTCATTTGTTCTTGAATCAGCTTAATTATCTTCAATCTAGCCGTTGAAATTCAAGAGATTGATTTTTCCTTACCAACGGGTAGAATTTCTTCATTCAAGACTTAGAATATTTCTATGTCTTTTCTCACTTGTCCGCTTCTAAGAGTTCTGGTCTTTTCTTGAGGCATACGGTTCTTTTGCGGACAAATCCGGAAGAGTCATTCACAGACTTCCGGGTGAGAAAGAGATCCGCGCTAGTCTTCCGATTTGGATGACTTAGCCTTCAGCGGGTTGTAGCGAGACATCCGGTTATCATGTATAGTTCCGGATTAGAGGATCTTCAATTGCTTTGAGAAATCCTAACTTGTCTCTCACATTTCCGATCAAGATATCCAATATCCATATCACAAAATTTGATTAATTCTTCAAAGATCAAACCACAGAGTGAAATATCACAACTTTATTGGAAATCTCAAGAACTCGGTTTTAACAATATTTTTAAAAAGAAAAATTACATTGAATATTGGGGGAGGCCTAAAGTCCCTATTACAATCTAAATACATCATCATCAAAATCTATAATATTTTTCCCAACATATTTAAAAGAGTATTTGCTTGCTAGTAAAAAGATTTAAGGTAAAAGTAACCCCAACTCATGATTATACCCCTAAAAGAACCATCACCTAAACAATAATTACATCCATATCTTTTATTCCTGAAAAGTTAAGGTCAATCTCCACCCATTATTCGAATTCTTGAAAACTTTTTGATTCAATTATATATATTATTTTCGAATTTAAATTAATAAACTTTTATTTTTACTTATTCACAGCTTTTTAATTTAACTCTTCAAAAAAAATAATTAAATATTAGATAGTTGTTAGGATTCTTTCTATAGCGTTCAAAATTGTATGAACACTCATTCTCGCGGTGAGAATATTCTTCCGGGAACAAATAACCCCGAACTTTTGCTCCGTCGCCGTACCCTTAGAATTCCCCATCAACTGGAGTTCAACGACGAAGAGCGAAGGGAAGAGGAAGGAGAGGCAAATCGCGAGGAGGAAGACCAACACTCGGAAGAAGAGAGAGAAGAAGAAGAAGATTGAGAGATGGCGGCTAATCCTAGGCGAACGATCCTTCAAGCCATGAGCCCTGCGTATGTCGAGGAAGACCCAATACGTCTCCCCGCTAGTCAAGTCCATTCATTTGAGATCAAACCAGCAATGATCCAAATGGTCTCAAATAATCAATTTGGAGGCTCAAAGGCTGAGGATCCAAGGGCGCACATGCTGTGGTTTTTAGGACCTACCAAACGTTCCAATCTAACGGTTTGTCCATGGACCGTGTGATAAGTCCGTTTCGTTCTTATCATTTACATCATATTCTAAACGTTATTGCACGTAAATAGTATTTAATCATCTCATAAAATCTGTTTTCAATGAATAAAACTCTCATTTTCGTTCTAAGAGTCATGAAAAGGGATTCCTTATGAAATTATCATAAATCATCCATTTTATGTTCAAATACTTGAGAAAAAGGGAATAAATCATCAAGGGATCAAGATTCGGGCTTGAACGAGCTTCCGGGAGGTCAAAAACAGTGTTCGAGACCAAAACGGAGCGAAATTGGGCCAAAATCACGAAACAGCCGCGAAGCCCAACGGACCAAGGCCTCAAGGCGTCCAACTTGGACGCTTGGCCAAGTTGGACGCTTGGGAGTTGGACGCTTTGGCTTAATTGCAGCCCAAGAATGACACGTGGCAAAATCTGGTTGGCCGGGACAGCTCAGGCGTCCAGATCTGGACGCTTGGACTTGGACGCTTGCACTTGGACGCCTTGGATTCATTCCTATAAATACAGCACGATTCTTCTCATTTTTATCAACCATCTCACAACCCATTTCGGGGTTCTCCACTATTTTAGTCAATATTTTATTGTATATTAGTTTAGTTATTATTTTTAAGTATTTTCCGGAGGATTTGACTCCCGATCTGTTCTGTTCCGCTTTTACGGAAGTAGTAAGTTTTCTTTATTTAATAAAATGTTGTTTTAATTTGTGTTTGCATAGTATGAGTTAGGGTCCGCATCTCTGGGTCCGGACTAGTTTGGTTGTTTATTTTTGATGTTAAATTAATGTTGGAATGGTTAGTCAATTGTTCTTGCCTTATTTAGTTAATTATTCTCGAAAGATTTAATTAGCTATTTATTGAGAAAATATTGTACGCCAAAAGGCTACGATATTCAAGAACAACGGATTAAGTACAAATCTAGAAATGGATGAGTAGTAATAGAAATATTATTATTCCAATTGTTGATTTAATATGATAAAANATGTTAAATTAATGTTGGAATGGTTAGTCAATTGTTCTTGCCTTATTTAGTTAATTATTCTCGAAAGATTTAATTAGCTATTTATTGAGAAAATATTGTACGCCAAAAGGCTACGATATTCAAGAACAACGGATTAAGTACAAATCTAGAAATGGATGAGTAGTAATAGAAATATTATTATTCCAATTGTTGATTTAATATGATAAAAGAAATCCAAATGATGTCCAGACCCTAGGTCCAGATCTGCACTTATACTATGTAAAATTAATTTATTATTTTTACTCTGCTCTTTTTATAATCGTTTCGAGAAGACTTTCATAAACCAATCCTAACCTTCGCCTAGTTAGAGTAATTAAACTGATTCCCTTCGTCCACTCCTCGAGAGACACAACACTCGGAGAGAAAACCCCTTTACTGGGAAGGTTTGCTACCCGAAAAACTACAATTGTCAAATGGCGCCGTTGCCGGGGAGTGGCACGGCATTAGTTTAATTTCTTCTGATTAGCTTGGGTGAAGATTGGTTAGAACGATCTTCTCACTTCTTTTTCACCAGCCACCCGTAATAATTATTATGGATAACTCCAGTGGTTATTACGGCCCGCCTTCTTACTGCGAATCACCTAACCGCTCTCCCTTTCAAACCCATCCACCTTACCACCCGCATCAGAACCCATACAACGATGACTACCGAGTCATTAATGGGTCTGACTACCATCCCTACCATGAGGAACCACCATATGATACCCCATCTGAGAACTTTGGATATTCTCCGTACCAAGACTCTGATGAGGAAGATTATTACGAACCTCATGGTGATCACGATGACTATGACTGCAATGGGCCTATATACAACGATTAACCTGATCCGCTCGTCGAAGAAATTCGAAGATTAGAACAGAAAATCTTCTATTTCAACGAACTTTTATTCGCTGAAGGCTCCTGGTATGAACCACCCTACTGCCGTGACTACACCCTGTGTGCTGAAGAACAAATCGAAGCAAACAAGGTGGCAATTCGAGAAAGAGCAAAACTTCTCGAATCAGTCCGGAAGGAAAAGGAGTTCAAAAGGAGATTATGCGAAGGATCAGATATGATTCAGAAAATGCTGGATGACTTCCAAAGAGAGAGACTCGAAGCTGAGGCTAAGGCTGATGAATTAGTCAATGATCTCTGTAAGGCTATTGAGCTTAAACGCTCCCTCCAATCTCAAGATCAAATGAGGGAGGTTAATGCTCAAAACGAGGCTCTAGAACCTAAGACCAACCCTAAACCATTCAACCATCAGGTTCCAGTTCTAGAAGATTCACCCAGTTTTTCACCATCACAGAAACCCGAGAGCATAACAACTCTCGCTAGGGCTACTGTGGTGATGTTACCTGAATGTCCTCCTAGCCAAGTCTCAACCAGCATAGTCGTACAAGAGGTGGAACCAACTGAAGGACCTGACTCAGAACCACCTAGGTTTATTCAAGAAAAGAAGGAGGAGGAAGTTTTGCCTATGGCAATAAACGACCATCTCCTTAATTTTGTTGAAGGGACACCTCCAGAGGAACCTGTTCTGGAGGAAATAGAGCCCATTACATGGCCCCAAGATACCAATGTCCAAGAGTCCGAGCAGGAATCTACATGCGAGGAAATACTTTACATAGAAAGGCGACTCCGTCTATAGAAACCTATGTACGTAATGCTTCATCTGAAGACTCAGACCAAACCTTCTTTGACTCCCTACTTGACGGGTGTGACGATGTCTGCCCGAAGGATGGTTGGAGCTTAAGGAGTTGGGATGAACTTCTGATGAGTGACACTGAAGACTGTTAGCCTTGGTTTGCTAAGCCTCATGTTTTGATGTTAACAAACAATATAAGAGCTTAACGTTTGTTTAAGTGTTTCAGGAAAAACAAGAATCTATTAAGATTCGGTACTCAAGAATGAAGTCGAAACACTAAACTAGCGTAGAATATAGGTAGAAACCAATGTAAGGATATGATTTTATATACCTATATTCACAAGCTCCAAAACACTCACAAAACATGTTTAAAATCCATTTATAATCATTTTCAAACATCCAAAAGGTTTTAAAAAAAATTGGAAATGATTTGGACAAAAATAAAAAAATTGTCCAAATGGTCATAAGGTACTTAGGTACCGTACTAAGATAGGTACCTCCAGAGAGTTTTGGCCTGAGAAGGTACCTAGATACCGTAAGCACGTGACCCCCCTACCGTATGGGCGGGACCCCCCTACCGTGACCGTTGGATTAGTGTTCCTGATTTGTGATTTTGAATTTAATCAATCCTAATCACCTCCCAACGGCTAATTAACATCTTCCACTATAAATACAAGCCTAATCCTTCATATTTTTTCAAGAAACAAAGCTCTAAACATCCTCCCTTTATATTCTTAGTGTGTTCATTCTTTTATTAATTATTTTCAATATTTTGGCTATTTCAAGAGCCTTAAATTCCTGATTTTTATACACACACTTTGAGCTTGTGTTTCTAGTTATATACTCTCGTATTCATAAGTTTGAATTGTATTTTTGAGAGAGTATACTTTCCTTCTACACCGGCTAAGTTTTGTTCTTTATTTTAATATTCTAGCCGTTGTGTAGAATCTACTTTTGTGTTCTTCAAACACATCTTCTTACGGTCGAGAATAGCCGTCAAATTCTCACGTTGTAACGGTTAAGGATAGCCGTATAAATCCTTGGGTAAAGGTTCAAGGATAGCCTTTGAAATACTTGGGGGAACGGTAGAAGATAGCCGTTAAATCTTCGTTGTAAACGGTTCGAGATAGCCGTTGTGAAATCTCGGAGTGAATCCTATTGGAAAGGGTTGTTTGCCAAAACTAGTTTGGTGCTTTGACGGAGTTCAAGAGGCCGAGACTTAGTGGATTCGGAAATCCTTGAGGAGGAGCCTCGAGGTACTGGAGTAGGGGTTTCCCGAACGAGTATAAATTCGGTGTGCATTTTATTTACGCTTTTATTTTTGCATTTTATTTATTGCTTCCGCATTTGCCAACACCGTTTTTATTAAACTCCGAAAAGTTTTTAAACGCCTTATTCACCCCCCCTCTAAGGCGTGGGCACAACGACTAAACCGACTAACAAAGACTCTTCCATGGGGAAAAGCATGGTCGTAATCATCAAACCACAAATGGATAGTCAGCCGATTGAAGATAAGGAAGATATCAATTTCGCAATCAAGGCTAATGATGTGGATCAACTGAGGAGACTTCTGCCACCACCCACCTATCTAGAGTCTCTTCCTTTTATCCTGTTGTCGCCAAGCCGCAGGGACGAGTCAAGGATCCTGGACCTTGACCGAGCAACAAATCAAATAAGGTGGCACCAGAAGAGAGTCAAAAGGGCCAAACTTTATGACTCTCGGATTGGGAAGTCGCGGAAAAAGTGGGTGAGCGTCGAGCTATGGACGTTAAAGAAGCGCTTAACGGGAGGCAACCCGTCATTCAAATAACGAAAATAATTAAATAAATTCAATAGTTTTATTTGTTAGTTTTTGAGGTTTTGCTTGCCGCACCAGTTTTGGGGGCAAGAGTTATTTTGTTTGTTGTCTTTGCTTTTGTAGATGAGAGAATTGTAGGGCATACCTTACAGTGGGAGCGAAGGAGAGGTCTTACCTGGGGAAAACACAAGGTTTCTGCAACCTTCAGGCTTCTTGATCCAACAATCCTGGTTGAAGTTGGCTAATGAGAGAATATTGACTTCCCCAGTAAAGTCTCCTTTTCTCTACTATTTTGAACACGATTTGGATGCTTGATGATTTTTATTTTAGAATTTCACAACATGACTCTTAAAACCATTTTGAGAATATTTTATGCATTATTTCATATTTTCATGTTATGGTTATATATTATTTCAATCTTCATCGTTAAATCTTCTAAGTATTGAGATAACCTAGTAATTGCATGTGAACATTTCAACCATTAACTCCAATTCCAAAATACTTTTAGCCACGAGGGCGTGGTTCCGTTTAAGTGTGAGGAGGTAAGAGTTCCTGGTTGAAATGATCTTTTTAGGAATTGTTTTGTCTATATATTTTTAGGAAAAGATTTTTATAGAATAGTCATCAATTTTAATTGTTTGATTAATTACTCTTTAGTTATCACTCGTGGAAATTGGAAATTTTTAAAATTTTTGTCAAACTTCTATTTTTACTCTAACCTTTTGGGAATGTTTTCTAAAATGATTTGGGATAAATTCACAATTTATTAAGAGTTTTTTTAGATCAATTAATTTTTAAGTGCTTTATTGAAAATCTTTTTGCTGGTGCTTTTAGGAGTATCTGTTGTTTCTTGAAAAGAGTTATTTTCAAAGCATAAGGGTTGATGTTTCAAAGTATACTTTGGTGAGACCGAGATTCTTGTTTTAGCCAAAAAGCAGTTGGTCTAGGTCAACTGATGAGGCGTGGTGAGTATGCCGAGAAGCACGTGGTTCTATATTGCGTGATGAGGCCTATTGAGTGTTAGAGTCAAAAAGCATGCAGTTCTATGTCGTGTGAGGAGACTTTCCAGAGTGAATATCCAAAAAGCTCGTGGTTCTATGTCACAGGATGAGGTTATAAATTTTTCTCGTGTCAACACGATAAAGTTGTGCCAAAGAAAATTAAACCCTTACACTTTGACAAATACCTTTGCAAGAACATGTTTTCCAATTTAGTCATTAAAAAAATTATTTGATCTTTAAAGTACTCTTACAAATGTAGTTATCCCAAAGAAAGTTTGGAAAATTATGGTTGTTTAGGTTGGTGTAAAAATATTGATTTGACAAAGTTCTTTTACATTTCTAACAATATGGGTGAGAATCTAAAGGTTCATTTCTTCTTAACAAAAAGGTTGATGACTATCTTATTTCTTTTTTTCTTCATAATATGTTGCTTAAACCTTCCCTCTGCAATTATTAATTTGCCTTTATACTTGTAATTATTCAATTTGTTGCTTGAGGGCAAGCAACGTTTAAGTGTGAGGAATTTGATAAGTCCATTTCGTTCTTATCATTTACATCATATTCTAAACGTTATTGCACGTAAATAGAATTTAATCATCTCATAAAATGTGTTTTCAATGAATAAAACTCTCATTTTCGTTCTAAGAGTCATGAAAAGGGATTCCACATGAAATTATCATAAATCATCCATTTTATGTTCAAATACTTGAGAAAAAGGGAATAAATCATCAAGGGATCAAGATTCGGGCTTGATCGAGCTTCCGGGAGGTCAAAAACAGTGTTCGAGACCAAAACGCAGCGAAATTGGGCCAAAATCACGAAACAGCCGCGAAGCCCAACGGACCAAGCCTCAAGGCGTCCAACTTGGACGCTTGGCCAAGTTGGACGCTTGGGAGTTGGACGCTTTGGCTTAATTGCAGCCCAAGAATGACACGTGGCAAAATCTGGTTGGCCGGGATAACTCAGCGTCCAGATCTGGACGCTTGGACTTGGACGCCTTGGATTCGTTCCTATAAATACAGCACGATTCTTCTCATTTTTATCAACCATCTCACAACCCATTTCGGGTTTCTCCACTATTTTAGTCAATATTTCATTGTATATTAGTTTAGTTATTATTTTTAAGTATTTTCTGGAGGATTTGAGTCCCAATCTGTTCTGTTCCGCTTTTACGGAAGTAGTAAGTTTTCTTTATTTAATAAAATGTTGTTTTAATTTGTGTTTGCATAGTATGAGTTAGGGTCCAGATCTCTGGGTCTGGACTAGTTTGGTTGTTTATTTTTGATGTTAAATTAATGTTGGAATGGTTAGTCAATTGTTCTTGCCTTATTTAGTTAATTATTCTCGAAAGATTTAATTAGCTATTTATTGAGAAAATATTGTACGCCAAAAGGCTACGATATTCAAGAACAACGGATTAAGTACAAATCTAGAAATGGATGAGTAGTAATAGAAATATTATTATTCCAATTGTTGATTTAATATGATAAAATAAATCCAAATGATGTCCAGACCCTAGGTCCAGATCTGCACTTATACTATGTAAAATTAATTTATTATTTTTACTCTGCTCTTTTTATAATCGTTTCGAGAAGACTTTCATAAACCAATCTTAACCTTCGCCTAGTTAGAGTAATTAAACTGATTCCCTTCGTCCACTCCTCGAGAGACATGACACTCGGAGAGAAAACTAACCCTTTACTAGGAAGGTTTGCTACTCGAAAAACTACAATTGTCACCGTGTTAAACTATTGCTTTTCCCTTTCTCACTTCGGGATCGGGCAGGACGATGGTTAAACACATTTCCCAATGGTCATTTCAAGACCTGGGAGGCGTTGCACCAGGCATTTATGCACAAATATTTTCCGCCCTCTGCCATGGTAAAAATTAAAAATTCCATCCAGAATTTCCGTCATGCACCTATGGAATCAATGAGCGAAGCATGGGAAAGATTCAAGGAATTGAAGGTTAAATGCCCTCCCGCTTTAATTGATTCCGATAGTTTGATTTTCTACTTTTACCAAGGCTTGACAGTTCCATCTAAGAAGGAATTGGACCACTCTTCTAAACTTGGTTCTTTTCTGGAGATGACACCTGAGGAGAATGAGGAGTTAGTAGAAAGACTCACTTCGAATGCTAAATATTGGTACGAAGACCGAGCTCCTCCTCCTAAGGCCGGCATGTATGAAGTAGATCAATTCATAGCTCTCAAGGCTAGTATGGAGAGCATCGTGAAACAAACTATCAAGGAACACTTAGGATCTTCCCATTCATGTCCCAATCAGTATGCTGAACCGGTGAACCAAGCTGAATTTTACGGTTCTGGTAGTCACCACCAAGCCGATCTTGTCCTGTCCTGTGAACACTGCCTCCAAAATCATCTTTCTTCTGCATGTCCTTTGATTGAACCACCCCCTCCGAGCAAGGCTAAAGATGTTCATCAAGCACAATACGCCAATAAAGGGGAAGGGCCTTGGGCCCAAAATAATCAAGAACATTGGCGAGAAAGAAATAACTTCCAAAGAAATAATCGTCCTAGGGATCATTAGAAGAAAGGTAATTAGAATAACAATAAAAGAAATTACCAAAATAACAATGCATCCTACGTTCCACCCCATAATCGCCAACCTCCGCAAGAAGATTCCATGGCAAGAATGGAAAAGATGATGATGGAGTACATGCAAAAGATGAACAACTTGGTGGATGATTTGAAGGAGCGTGACAAAACGTGCGATAACCAACTCCAACAAGTGTTTAAACAATTAGGAGATAGAGAACAGGGGAACCTCCCAGCTACCACCGAACCGAACCCAAGAGAGCAACTTTGGGACGTAACCTTGAGAAGTAGTAAAGAGCTTCAAGGCCGAGAAGTTGAAGCTGATGTAGAAGAAATCCCAGTAGATAACTCTGTTGAAGCAACTCATGAAAAGAAAACTAGATCCGCACCTCAAGAAACGAAGAAAGAGGGAACCTGCTCTAGCCAATCCCAACCAGCAAGGCAAACTCAGCAAAACACTATTCTCTTCCCTACTAGGGTGAAAAAGAGAAAAGACGAGAAGGCTTTCCAAAAGTTTCTCGACGTCATTGGCCAAGTTGAGGTCAAGATGCCTTTGGTAGATGTGTTAACTGAGATGCCCAAATATGGCAAATTCTTAAAAGATCTAGTAACTAAGAAGAAAGATTGGGAGGAATTCTCAGTTGTCAGCTTAAATGCTGAATGCTCTGCTATGTTGCTAGAAGAAATGCCTAGGAAACGGAAGGATCCCGGATGCTTCATTATCCCTTGCTCTATCAACAATAATGTTAGATTAAGTGCCCTTCACTAGAGGGGGGGTGAATAGTGAGGCACGAGAAAGTTTATAAATTTTTGCGAAATAAAAATCGTAGGGATAAAGTAAAAAGCGGAATAAAAAGCATAAGGAAAGAACACACCAAATTTACCCTGGTTCACCACAACTTGTGGCTAATCCAGCCTCCCGAGAGACTCTCTCGAGCTACACTACTTCTGTTAAGCTTACAGGTGCTTAACAAACCGTTACAACCTGAGAACTCGAGTCCCACGAGCCTCAACAACACTTGCTCCGAGATACCGCACTCCAAGACGTCAACCCGAAGGAAAGTACCTTTCCTTCGTACAACCAAGGGAAACAAACTTCCCTTAATGTCTATAAAAACTAAGAACACTCAAGAACAAGGGTCTCTCAAAAGAGTGAATATGAGTAAAGTAATACGCTCAAGATCCCAACACGAACTTCACAAAAATGGCTCTCGAAAAGCTATGAATAATGTATGAATAATATGCAATGAAAGAATAGGAGTTGTGAAGTAATGTGATATGTAAAATAGACCCAAACACCTCATTTTATAGTGCCAAAATAGGCTCCAACGGGTCAAAACATTTAAGGGGTGATTGGCTTGATTTGTGGGATTTGATTGAAATTGGATCTGCTGAAAATCAGCCAGACAGCGCTGTCCTAGGCTTGGACATCGCTGTTCTAGGCTTGGGTTTTGAATAATGGGAAGCAACGGTCATGCCAACAGCGATGTCCAATACCCCTACATCGCTGTTTTGGCTGTTGACTTCCAAACAAGGAAAGTTTTAGCCTTAAATTCCTTCCAATGGTCAGGTCCCTACATCGATGTTCATTACTTGAACATCGCTGTTTAGGTCTAACTTTGAAGGTGGAGAGTTTGGCCTGACAGTGCTGTTGCTGGGTCAACATCGCTGTCCAAAAACTTTCTGCCAGAAGCATTTCTTTTTGGCTTAGGTTGGACAGCGATGTAGGGTAGTCTACATCGTTGTTCCAGATGTTTCTAGAAACCCAACCTTGGCTCAACAACGATGTCTAACATCCAACATCGCTGTTGGAAGACTTAACGCCAAACCATGGTTTTCAGCTTCCCATGCCAGACAGCGCTGTTGGTTACACCAACATCGCTGTTGGGCTGGTTTAGCCAGACCCATGGTTGGTTTAGTCATGCCGTTAGCCGATGACAAAAATGTAAGTTCTCCAAAATAAAAACCAAGTATTGAAAACATTTTTTTAATGCATTTTGCTAAGAAATCAAGTAAAACATCTTGAAAACCACGTCATTTAGTTGAAAACCACGACTAGCCAAGTTTACGCCGTTTCTCATGGTTTTTCACTAAATGACCAAAAACGAAAGGTGGTTTTTGAAGCGTTTTTGTTGGAGAACTATTTAACTATGCCCAGAAGTAAAAACCAATCATTAAAAGTTGAAAACCACTTGGTTGGTTCGGACGCCAAAAACCAACGCCGATGACCGAAAGCCGAACGCCGGTTCTCGAAACCCGAACGCCGGATGGCTTGGTTTTTGGTTTGGGCGAACTCCAAGTGTTTTTAGGCATGTTTAAAACTTAAGAAGAACATTTTGAATATGCAAAAAGTATTTTGATGCTATGAGCCTAGAGAGCCATGTTTTGAAAGTTTGTGCCGGTCTTGATCACATTAACACCGACTCAATTTAATTCTAAGTCTTCGTTCTTGATTCTTGGTTCTTGGTTCTCAGTTCATCATGCCATGTTCCTTTGCCTTGGTTTTGCTCAGTTTAATCTTGTTGTCACGGCGGTTTGGCATTATCAAAACCTGTCATAAAACGAACACGGTTTAGTACGACATAGGCGTAAACCCGTGTTGTAACACCCGCCTTCTATGGACCCGGTTCACCCGTGACCCGACAGACCGGCAGGGTTACAAGGACCGTCCGTTACAAAAACATTAATGATTATCTAATAAGAAAACGGTTGTGTTTTAATTAGGGAATAAATGCCAAGGAGTTACTCCCAAAGCATGTGTATTAAATGTGCAGAGTAAATGCGGAAGTAAATAAATAAGTCCAGTCCAAATCAAATAATGACAATGGTGGGTTCATGCCCAATTGATTAATGAAGTTATTGAAAGTAATTAAGAGTTCGTCTGTGCGCCGCCCATCTCCCCATCGTCACCGCTCTCCAAGGTTGGCACCTGCTCCGTCATGTCTACCTGCGTGTAGCAAAAACAACTACACGCTCAGCAAAAGCTGAGGAGTGAATCTAACAAAAGAACATGAAGTGATAACCCATATGGCTATACCCATATCAATACCTGTACTTAACGTACGGCAAACCACACGTTACTAACTGTTTAGTTTTTACCTGTTAAAGCTATTTCGAATAACAAGGAACATAATGATGATGATATGACTTGATGCATGACTTAAACTATCAGGGACACCCCTGACTTAGTTTCACTCGACAGGATCACCCCTGCACTCCGATCATCGTCCTCAAACGGTAACGAGCCGGGCACGACGAAAATATTGCGAGTGGACTAGAAAAACCGGGTAGTAGCCGTAACCTAACTACTATGTACGTACACAAGCCCAACATGATGAAAACCCGTTGGTCCCCAAAGGTTCCTGGACGGGCCCACTGTAGTAGGCGCACGAAATCCTCCCTAGAGCGGTATGCACATGATGAAAACCTAGAACATTCGTCTAGAACGAACATGATGAAATGAATGCATTGATTAAAGAAGAGAGTTAAATTCAATTCATACATATGTGTTTGATTATGATTTGTTCAACATGATGGCCCTGGGTTCAGAACTGGTTGATAATCGATTGTCTGCTGTTGATAATCGATTATCATGCTGTGCAGCTTCTGTCCCCAAAGTCCTGCAGACTGTGATAATCGATTGTCACCCTATGACAATCGATTGTCAAGTTGGTTTATCTGGAAAGTCTTAAGTTCAGAGAGACCTGATAATCGATTATTGCCTGTGTGATAATCGATTATCAGTGAAGCCAACTCAGACCCAAGAATCCGCACGGCCTGAAAGTCGATTATTGCATATGTGATAATCGATTATCACGCTGTGCTGAATCAACTAAGGAGTCCAGCGTGGCCTGACAATCGATTGTACTATTGTGTAGCTCGATTATCATGACACGCTGACTTCCATTATATCTGTTTGTTTGTTATCAAAACGTTGGAAGTTTTAGAAACGAATGTTTATATTTCCATGCTAGATAATCGATAGACTTACAAGGTTTCAAAACATTTATATTAACGAGCACTTAACTTGATAACATGGACACACGTATGTTGGATGGTTAACCTACGAACATGCATAGATTCTACGTAGGTTGCGTACGATATTCCTACGAATATAACGACATAGATTATAACTAAATGTTCTAGCATTAGAGGGACNGATTATCAAGACACGCTGACTTCCATTATATCTGTTTGTTTGTTATCAAAACGTTGGAAGTTTTAGAAACGAATGTTTATATTTCCATGCTAGATAATCGATAGACTTACAAGGTTTCAAAACATTTATATTAACGAGCACTTAACTTGATAACATGGACACACGTATGTTGGATGGTTAACCTACGAACATGCATAGATTCTACGTAGGTTGCGTACGATATTCCTACGAATATAACGACATAGATTATAACTAAATGTTCTAGCATTAGAGGGACAACTACTCACCTCTAAACGAAGTGACTGATGGAATGAGATGAACGAATGGCGCCAACGAACGGACAAGCGACGACTACGCTTCGCACGAACGCCCTAGCTCTTCTTTCCTTCCTTCTCCCTCAACCGTGCACCCACCGGAGCTTCGCCAGAGACCTCCCTGGCTGCTGTTGCCTTGGCCGAAAGTAAGAGAGCGAGAGAGAGAGAGTGAGGATTGTGAATTCTTGGGGGTTACAAAATGGGAGGTGATGGAAGGGGAAATGATGGAGTTTTAATGGTGGATTATAGAGCCTAATGAATGAGAGAAATGGTGGTGTTGAGGGGGCCGAACCAAGGGTTTAGGGGAGTTACAAAATTTATTTACTCCGTAATGTAGAATCTGACCTGAATGGTACACGCTTTTTCCCCCGAGCGGGTCTGAATTGAGATCCGGTTGCGTTTCTGGAATCGGACAGTCAAAACGAATTTAATGATATGATCAAATAATTTTTCTAAGAACTTTTAATTTCCCCCAACTCCGGTCCGAAACAGTAATTAATTAATTAAATTAATCAATTCTATTAGACCGGTTTACAGGGCGTTACACGTGTTCCAACAATTTCCCCCTTTTTGATAATGGCAAACAAGACGGGGATATGCATACTAAGGGATATTTGATTTTGAAACGTGTGAAAAAAAATTCCCCCTTAATTTGTGCTTTTTAAAAAAAACTAGTAGTCATATTAAAATCAAACGATCCCGTTTTTAGAGACGTTCCCCCTTAGTGTATGCATAACCCTTTTCTTCCCCCTTTTGACATTAACAAAAAGATAAAAGATGATTTTATTTATTAAATTGGGAAATAGCGGAGTACAATGGAAGCAATAATAATAAAAAACAAGACAATTGAACAAAGAAGAGATAAAAATTCTAGGTGTGGCCTAGTCTTCGTCTTCAGTTTCCTCCTCGTCGTCGACGACGTCCATCTCATCACCGTCAACGGCGCCATCGAACTCGTCCTCGTCCGGGGAGCTTAACGGGGCGTAGGAGCCATCCCCTTCGTCCTCGTCACCGTACATTTTCCCAAGGAACGTGCCTTGGTATGGTGGGGGAACGTAGTTGACGCGTTAGAAGTATGCGTTCATGGCCCTTGGCGTTGAACAGCCTCGTCGAGCCGCTCAAGGTACCCATCCATCCCGTCAACTTTGAAGTGAAGCCTGTAACACCCTAATCCGTCCAGGTCTACAGCCCCATTCGGACTAAAGTATTTAACTTGGTAATCGTAAAATTTAAAACTTTTCAAACAAACTTTATTAATCTCAATAATACTTTTCATAACATATGCAGTACGGAGTATTTAACAATATTGCGGAAGCGAATTTAATATTGTCATATCATAAATCATTTCAAAACTTGTCACATCCATCCTGACAATCTCGCCCCATCTGCCGCCAG